GGTATTCACTTTGCAACCACAAAGTGTAAGTTCATGCCCGTGGACATCAGTCAGTGAACACGCCACTTGCAATCCAGGGAAAGGTACTGGAAGTTGTGCAGCGTTTTACGTATTTCGGAATTTGTATTAGTTCTGATTGTAGTGTGACAGGTGAGGCAAATGAACCAATCTGCAAGGCCCGGGTCGCGTTTGCTAATTTGAGTTACCTATGGCGTCAAAGTGGTGCATCCCTGAATATCAAGGCATGTGTATCAAGCTACAGTGCGGGCTGTTTTGCTGTATAGCCGAGACTTGGTCTGTTCGAGCAGCGGAACTGAGACATCCTTAGGTGTTCGACAACCATTGTCTCAAGGCCACACCTCGTGCGGGCTGGTGTCAGCGAATCCGTAAAGAGACAACCAGGAACGAGTTTTCGGTTATGCAACGGGAATTCCCACTGAAGAATGTGTCCAGCACCAGAAGCTCGGTTGGTTAGTTTATATATTGCGCCTGCCAAACCATCGTTTGTCAAAGTGTGCTGTTTTCCATGCCCGATTCGGAGTGACGGAAGCAGAGGTGGTCAACCCGTGATCTGGCAGAGGGGTATTGAAGAGATTACGAAATGTCTGGGTGCTATCGGTGCTACTCGCCTTCCAGAATGATGATCAGGTGTTCCTCACTACGCCAAGAGAAACTGCAAGATATGGCTGCTAATCGATGTCAGTTGCTTTCTTGTTCTAAGTTTCTATCCAGATTGCCTGGAGGTATAGACACCTAGGAATGATTGTAGTAAGCTAGCACTAAGTCCCTTGACTGTCCACCTTTATTCTTTTCTTCACAATAAGGCTTTCAAATAAATCACGGCTGTACGGCAGTGAAGCGTCGGTGTTGTACACTGATGTCATGCCGTCGATGATGATGACGATGATATTTACATAGAAAAGTGTGGCCCCTAAATATATGAAGTCAATTCTGACAACATTTTGGGGTTAACACCCCGTGGTACTTAGATTTAGGGTAATTAGAAGGCCATTGCACAAATACGACACAACATAGTAAAGTAAAACGCAACATTGGAGTGCAGTGCAACAGGATAGACTGCAAAATGGATAGAAGAAACTTCCAGCTCAGTTTGTGAGCTACAGAAGGCATACCAAGGGTGCGTAGGATTTACCTGCTACAGACTCGATCATCAGCAACCAGGACAGCGTATGAATTATAGCCACATATTAGAAGCGATGGTAGGAGCAGTTAGTTCGGGAAAATGGGGAGGTACTCACTGATGGTAACAGCTTTGTTACACCAGCGCCAGTGACTGTGTGATTTTCAGTCAGCCAAGTTCCGAGGTTCCCCTCCAGGGAGGCGGTCGTTGTTAAACCGACTGAGTTTACAGGTTAGTGTTTTCATACTTTGTTGTCAGATCATATAATACCCACCTCTCGGTCGCTACAATTCAGCACAGGGCGGAACAGAGAAATATCAACGTTGCAGACGGTCCTTTGGCATATAGAGTACCATCCTAAACTATGAAGCCCGAGCAGCTCATCCATCGTGGGAAAAATGCTTTTTCCTAATACTGTCTGAAGTAGCTCAGCCTTGCTAATCCGATGTTTTCGCCAGACTCGACCAACGCTTAAGAGACACCGATGGTCAAACACTGACAGATTTCGTAGGTCCTCTGCGCGTAGGGGCTGCGTTTCGGACCTACAAAACAGCGTGGATAGCAACGCTGCAGTGTATACTCTACCCTTGACAGACAACTGATGTCACGCCAGCACCATGGATGTCAGAGATTGGCAAAACCTGCACTGACCTTCCGAATTCGAGGAGTATTCTCGTCTCCAGCCAGTCCATCGGAGCCTATTAAACTGCCCAGGTAAACAAAGTTACCTACCACTTTGATTAGCCAGTCTGCAGGCACAGCCACACCCAGTCATATAGCAGCAGGCTACACTTTGCAAGTGCAAAGCGTATACTAAGCTATGCGACAGAACTATCTTATGGTGGCGAAGCGTCAGTGTTGAACGGTGATACTATGTTGTCGATGATGGCAGATTTAGAAAGACTTGCACCTTCGAAGGATCTGAACCAAGGAGAATAAGGGCATTCGCACACCCTGTGACTGCGGGCGAGCGACCCCGGCCCCCGAGGTTTCAGATAGGAAGGAAGTTTCAGACCGCACATCAACAGAAAATCTAAAGAGGAATGGCGGGAGAGGACAGCCTTGTTTTACACCACAGGAAGTGGGCAACCCAGGCGAAATCTTGCCGTACATACGTACGCGTCCACAAGAGCCCGCACACAATCCGCTCCTAGGTACCGTACGTCCTTGAAGCTCTTCATTCATCGGACGACATCAAAGGCTATCTGCCATTTACTGTCGGTGTACATATTAGATCACAAGTGAGACATACTATCCACACATAGAGATCGTGAACTGAGATTGCATCGTACAAGAATAACTCAAGCGAGGGGCTTCGAAGACGACGATCACAACGTTCCTTGCAGTAGACGAATTGAATCCACGGCTTTGTTTTAAATAAAGTGTCAGCATTGTGGGAGATAGATACTATGGGTAATGACTAAATTCTTCCTTCCAACATACCAAGATGCTCCAGAATGTTTCTGCTGAAGTTCTGCTCACCACCTCGTGGCGGAGACGTCTCCACCAAACTGAGGGAAGCAGGCGTACCGCGTTATAGGGGATGAGGGCTTATTGGTTATCCAGTTAAGAGAGTGAGTTGAACACTGATTTCAAACCAACACCAGCCGGTATGTGGAGCAGGCACCAGTAAATAGGGCGACGACCTAGACAACGATCCTGTTCAACAGCTCTCTACGAATCGCAGCCTTCAAGGTTGTCGCTCAAAGGATACAGGCGCGAAACAATCCGTAACATATCCCCAAGAAGCTTCTGGATATGACTTACATGTTATTTCTTTCTCGTTACGGCATCCTCAGTAAGCGACGCACCTTTGACTGGAGCTACCAGAGCGCATACTAGGAAGCTCGTTTAGTGTGAATGTTGGAATGGACCCATTGGGATCTGGGAGCCAGGCTATCACTATGAGTGCCGTCCATGACATAATCCACGTGTGGAAAGTCCGGATACCCAGGAACGGTTTCCGCCGAGACAGCTCCTCTTTTGGTCAGTAACGCACAAGATAGCTCTGGTCTCCTAACGATCTGCTTGAAAACGCACTAGTGTCGTTCAAGGCGATTAATCCGATAACCTAACCGGTGAGCTCCAAGAGCTCACTTTGCTGGCCATGCACAGGTCAGATGGTTCCGACATCAAATACGAACTTTACGACATGCTGCAAGTAGCTGTTAAGAAAATATCGAGGGCTGATTTGCATGTAATAATTCGTACTCTCACAGGACCATGCGATACCTCAGCGTGGTATATTTCTAGAGAATGTAGTTCAGTTCGCTGCTGTGTAAATGGTCAGTTTCATAGACTTCACTCGGTCGTGCGTCGCCAACATACAAGTCTAGTAACCTAAGAGCCTGTTAACTAGGTGCCCAGACCATACAGATTGATTACACTCTGATGGGACGTAGATGCACCCAGTTCATAGGTGATTCCACTTTCTTCGGAGAAGCGGAAGCAGAAAGACAAGAGCACACTATCTAGCAAGCTAACCCTAGGCTGAACCCGAAAACTTATCTTGTTGAGAAACACAACATCGCGCCTATTGATTTCCCGGGTAAGAACCAATCTCCACCTAATTAAGTCCGTAAAAATTCGACGCGTGCTGGACGATGCCAGTACACCACGAGCGTGTACAGCTTGTGAAATCCAGTCTACTACAAGCTATCAGTTGATCCGGCTTCTAATTTTACCGTCGACCCAGAGATCATTGATTCAAAGACTGAGATCGAATCCCCACCATCATCCGATTCGGACAGAGGGTAAATGAAGCAGCACCGGAGAATACTTGCGGATGTACGAGTGAGCGGTTTCCGATCATATCATACAAATAACCAACGATTTGGAAGGATGCGATAACATTATCAGACATGCAAATTCAATAATCGGCCCGGCAGGCAATGTTACATATTTCAGGGAATGTGAAGCATACGTTGTGAGCAAAATGAATATCTTACAAAGTATGTCTGAGCTCCTGAAAAACAAAACTCAGTAGCTAGTATAAAAGAATGGGCTCTGGGTTCCATAGACGTATTGGAAGATGGACCATGCTGAGTGGCTTGCACCTCAAACAACGCCAACCCGTGTTTTATGCAGGGCTTGTCCACGCGGGAAACAAATCTTATGCTTGCAAGTTGTAATATATTATGCTTCAGAAATCCTAAGCCATTCAAAAACATTCACAGGAAGAAAGAAGGTCTGTAGTTTATATCCGCAAAAGGTATGGATGTCACTGACGGCGAGTTGGTTGAAGGGGATAAAACAAAAACGGCCGTGGGTAATTAAAGGGGATGGCAGTTCCGGACGGCTGTGACTAAAGCACGAATTTACTGATTGGAATGTTCGTGGTCCGAACCCAACCTCTACATGTCGATCGTTCCAGTATTGATGTGGGCAACCTGACAGTATCGCAACACTCGTGCTTCCTTCGGGTGGCATGGCAGCTGGGCAACGGATGGGTAGTACGGCTGAAAAATTATTGGTATTAGAAGGCGCGCGGTATTTCTGGCTAGCTATTACATTAGACGTGGCTACCTAGGCTTTGGGCATCTCGGCCACCGAAAACCGTTCTCTTACGTTTGTTCCTTAAATTCGTGTTCTGGGCCACACAACACGCACACAGTCGCTCACCAGCTGTTATTGAAAGCTTTTTCATTCGGTAGACTGACACCGTTGCTTCCAAACTTTTGACGTGTAATGTCCTATCCTTTCACAAATCTGCCTGGTAAGTATTTGCCCCCTTCCTACTAAAGTGAATCGATACAGAGAACAACCTACGACCTGTTCGAATGTCGCAGCGCGTTTCTCAGAACTGATTTCAGCATGGAAATGAAAATTATAAAGTTTTATTCACATAGAAGTGCAAATATTAACAGGCTTGTACAAGTGTGATGGTCTCTCCCTTCAAAAGAATACGACCAAGTGGTCGTTTGGCACCGGACTTCATATGACGTTCGCAAGCATCACCAAGTACCAGGTTCATATATTCGTCGAAGCCCTTAACGAAACAGTGTTGATCATGATTAATTATCCACTTACGATTATAATGCCCTCGATCCGAAGATTTGTTTGTTCATAAAGCCATATTTGCACCCGCGCTTTCTAAAAGGACCTTAGTTTTAATGTATGATTACCCTCTGGAGGAAGTTGTATATTATTGCCTAAAAAGTTTTGTTACATAAACCCAAAGCTTTATAACATACAATCGGTTGTTGAATAGCCTTGCTGGGGCGATTTCCAGGTCCACGATGCATCTTTCACGAAATCCCGAATTACCCGCTCTAAATGCAATTACAAGGCCACAGCGCTGTTGGACTAAACGCACCTTGATTCAGTGCATGTGTGCACGCACAATGAGGGTCACGTCTCTCGTGCGTCCTGAGTTGACAACTTGGTTGGCGTATTCCAGGAGCGGTATCACGTAGGTACACAGAGTATTTGGAAGTCAATGCGAGTGATATGGGAGAAGGCGCGTCGGATCATCCGTAAGATAGCACATTCACGGAATCACGGATTGATACACACGGTACACAGAGTGGAAGTCAATGCGAGTGATATGGGAGAAGGCGCGTCGGATCATCCGTAAGATAGCACATTCACGGAATCACGGATTGATAGATACGATGGAGGATTTTGCCCAAGTTTCCCGGGTCGGTTTTGTTCTTGTCGGTCAGTGGCTATTATTCACCTGAAAGGCACAAGTGAAAAAAGGGTGTAGCACTGCTCTTTATGTTCTCAGCGCGGGGCAGTATGCTCGCCAGCGCGAGGATTCGCATAAATAAATGTCTAATAGTGCTTTAAATTGGGTTCGAGAAGGAGCGTGTACAACCGTCGGAGGAAGGTCATTCCACGCAGCTACTACCCGAAATGAAAAAAAGTTTTGTCT